TGTTGTATCTTCAAATTTAAATTGTCTTGGATTGACTGTAAATAATAATAATGATAATGGGCCAGTAACATTAACCAACAACAGTCGAAGATAAAAGTACTCAGTGTGTCTTGGATTAACTATAAATAAGCGTTTGATTTAAATAAATTGAGACATGCATCAACTGGTGAAACTTGCTTGCGGGGCATCCATTTTTTTGTTTAAGGCCATGTGAAATAGCGTGGTACTTGTGAATAGAGTAATGTTTTTGCAAAGGCACCAAAATCATCCGTACTATTAAACAATTCAAAAAATGCAGTGAGTGCAGATTTAGGTGGATTTGTACCACGATCAATCACTGTCTCGTTCGTGAAAAATACACGCTGACCATTTTCAAGATGGACGGCTACCTGAACAGCTGCTGGATCCCGTTCATGAATTAGAAAGCCGAAGATACGCCAAGCAGCTTCATTGGAGGTGATGTACCGACCAATTTGGTAGAGCGTAATTTCACCGTTTTTGTTCATTGGAGGAGCATTTACATTAGTATTTTCTACTCTAAACACAGCCATACCACCGCCTTTATGGACATACTTATATATTTGATGCTCTTCACAGAACTGCAAAACTCAACATTAATATAAGCATTGTATGTCTTGCTTAGCAGAGGCGAATACGTTACCACCCGCCATTGTCCCCCATTATCGGGATTTCTTCGACGATATATTGGATATCCGTCGGTATTTGTTATAGTATCATTAGTGAAATCTTTAGAAAAATTTTTAGTACATTTTCCATCTGCCATGCAAGCCGAAGACGAAGAACGAAGTCGATGTAAATGCTCGATGTACTTGTTGGCGTAGTTACATAAAATATTAAGAAAAAATTTTTCTTTTTCAAAAATATAAACAAAATTTATGTCAAAAAAATAAAAAATTTTTTGTTAAGCACTAAGGATATTTTTACTGGGTAGGGACTCCCTAATCACTTTAGCGGTATGAAAAATAGATAGTAGCCGATTCTCAGACCTACTGAATACGCATATAAAATTTGGTAAAAATCGGTAAAGCCGTTTCGGAGGAGTACGGTAACTAACATTGTGACATGGAAATTTTATTTATAAGACCGCAAACAGACATCGTTTGGCCTTGCGACTTATTGATGGTCTTTGCAAATGCCAATCTAATAGGAAATTGAACGCGTTTGAATTAAATTGGCATGTCTGTGAGAATCATTGGAATTCGTGGCAATAAAAGTTTTTCGTTTCGGACCTTGCCATTCAAAATGGTGGCTTCGATAATGTTTTTCATCAATTTTTTAATTACCAATCGCGTACTATTGCATAGCCGTGGCGGGTTCAAATTCCGAAGTAAAATAATCGGTGATCCAACTTTCAGTCGTAAAATGTGTGGTGGGATGCCTGGCAAATTCAGTGAGTTTAAAAACTCTGCTGGATAGTTTACAACTTCGTTGGTATCACAAACTGTATCGATCGATTTGTATGATATTAAGTCGCTTGGCAATGTCTGTTTTATCTTGAAGTTTAATTCATCAACGTCCACGTTTTTTTTGCTGCTAATGGCTCTTTCTGCCAGCCAGATTTATGTATTGTATGTGTACATCTGGAAATACGCGGTCAATGAGAGCATTTTGGGAATCAACGATAGTACAGAAATTAGGGGCAGTTTTATGAATTCAGTATTTTCATAGACAACAACTTTTCATATCATAGCAAGTTTTCTTTTTCAAAAATATAAAAAAATGTATGTCAAAAAAATAAAAAAATTTTTGTTAAAGCATTAAAGATATTTTTGCTGGATAGGGATACCCTAATCACTTTAGCGGTATGAAAAATAGATAGTAGCCGATTCCCAGACCTACTGAATACGCATATAAAATTTGATAAAAATCGGTAAAGCCGTTTCGGAGGAGTACGGTAACTAACATTTTGACAATGTTAATTTTATATATAAGATATTAAAATAATTATAATTTGAACTATAATATATACATAAAATAGGTTAGTTAACCACGAAATGGCAGACTACATATGCCAAGTTGAATTTTTAAAACATAACAGTTGTATGTACACTGTAACGCAGTAGATTACAGTAAACTGTTAAGCGCATGTTAATTGATAACATTTTCTTTTACCAATTACAGACTGATGAAATAAGTTTTGCATTTTAACGCTTATTTCCAGAATTGGTTTAGTAAATCTTTTGGTTGAATATTTTTAATCAGTAGTTGTATATAATCACTGATATAATAATTAAATTATATCATTATAATTATATAAATAATGCCTGAACAAACAGAATAGTATTGAAATTTAACACTTAAAAATAAAAATATATAACTAATTAATTCAATTATTCTGCATCTGGTTTATGATTTTGTTCTAATATAAACACAGCAAGTGATTTTGTTAATAAAACTTTCAGAGCAAAGTAACAAAACTCCAGAAAAAAGTACGAACATAAAAGTTAAGTACGGCTTTGGGTCAGTTGGTTAAAGAGCGCTGACTCTGAGCTTCAAATTTGGCAGAACACGAATTCGATTCCTGGTACTTGCAGTCTTAAAAAATTTTTTACGAATAAATCAATACAAGAATTATTTCTAAGACCACTGATAATGGGTATTTGGCAATACTCGAAACAGTTGTATGGCCAGCCAAAATTTCAATTTATTAAAATAACACAAAAATTATTTTGTATAATGTTTTTCAAAACTACTTTTTGTAACTAATATCTCATTATTATGAGATGTTATGGATGTATCTATTTCTACGTCTATTTTTATCTGAAAACGCTTCTAAAGGATATACACATATGTATATTTTTATTTTTTGTGTGTTGAGAAGGTGGAATGCTTAATGCACTATAAGACCAACCGTCGTCGGAATGGTAGTATTCAACGAGATTTACTCCCCCTCGGAACCGCTTTTGCAATACTTCGAGAGGGTCTTTTTTATGTTGGCATTACAGGCTTCTATTTTTTCACCGCATTTTTTTGGTGTCTGCACTATTTATTAGCATAGTTTCTGGTTCTCCAGTTTATGTTTAATTTTTTCGATTTGAGGAATTGAATCACATATGACTCTATCGTTCACCAGCTTTTTGCGTTCCCTCTCATCGTCACCACTATATTTTCAGAAGGGTTTGCTCCACATTTCGATGGTTTGCTCATGATCTTCTCTTGTCATTTGTTGAGTATAGTAGGCGGACATATATATATAGTAGGACATACATATATGCAAAAATTCGTTATGCGTATATGGTTTTTGAACCAACAATTTTATCTAAAATTGTATTTAAACCGCATATACTATACGCTATAATGCGTATAGATATCTCTATTTCCATCTAAGAACCTTTTTTTAAAGGTTATAATAAGGGTATAAGGCTTTTTTTGGGGGTATATGTGCGATAATGCGTTGTTATGAATATTCTTTTTTCAAATTAACATTTTTTATGTAAAATTCTATCTAAAGCGTATATATACTATAATGGATATTGGTATATAAATTTGAAACCCCTTTTTAAATGGCATATATACGATAATGTCCTTATACTGATTTCAAATCCGAATTTTTATTAGAAATCTCTGTTTGAAGCACAAATATGTGATATTGAACATAAGAAACTATTTTCTAAAGGATATTTATAAGAAAGTATGTTGTGATTATTCTTTTTTCCATATTATTATCTATTTAAAGAGCAAATATACGATTATACAGTAATCGTATTTAGTTTCTTGGATCCCTTTTCTTCAATTCTTAATATTTGTTAAGATCAGTTTATTGTGATAGTTCCCTTTACCTGAATTTTACATATACCATACTATGTTATATATGTGTGCAGATATGTGTAGGAATTTAAATTTAAATGTACAAATTTACATATATATCTTTTTAGAAATTATGCGAGATTTCGAGTCCCACTCCTGATACTATGAGAGGTGGCATCTTCTCAGCTGATAGAAAAAACGTTTAGTCATCTGTACCCTGGAACTTGCATAGTGTCTAAAACATTATATTGTAAATTTGTGTATAAATTTTATTGAGGGATAGCAACTCGAGTCTCTAATTTTTGTTTGGACTTCAAATAGATCACTGTAGCAAAACATTAGGTACATATAACAATCCCATTACTATACTAAGGTAGATAGGTTGAAAATTTACTTACTTGAAACTCATCGTGCTTAAAAACTGTTATCATACCTATATCATATGTTTTTAATAGCAGTTAAAAAATCAGATATATATGTTATATATACGTGTATATATTTAATGAAGAAAATCACATATTGCTTTACACTTATTGCCAAGTTATATATATGGAGAAATTTTATTACTAAATGATATTTAATTTTTTCCATTTTGTAAAAAATCACTAAAGTGCACTATTTCAATTATTTGCAAAAAGCTAATCAACTTCTAATGAAGTCGAAATTTTTACAGTTGTCGTTTAAGACTTGCCAGATATGCAAAATATAATTGATTCGGTTCTGGTCTACCTAGTATAAAGCAAAATGACCTACGTAACTTTGGAGTATAACTTAACACTAATAATAAAATAAAGACCTATAAATCTATTTTTTAAATGAACTATGAACTGAAGTATTTTTATAGATACTTTAAAGTAGTTTTTGCAATAAAAAATTGCAGTTCATTTTTTAAATAGTATTTTACTTCCTTTTATTTTTAGTGTAAATTTAGAGGCTATTATTTTATATCATTTAGGCCACTAAAAACGGCCCATTAAATCCTTTTTAATTTTTTCCTTTCGATTTTATTGTATGGCTCAAAAAGTAATAAATTGAAAAAGACTGCGATAAAGACGGCTTTGGTAATAAAGGCACTCAGTTAATTTAATGCATTGTGCAGAGCAATAAATTTGAACCCCAATTTGAAGTATTAATAATACTTTTTAAGATACTTTGCATCATATGTCAAAAGTGAATTTGTTTTTACATAAGATGTGTGCAACTGAAATTTTTTCATTTAATTTATATTTTGAAATAAATGTTGTACATTAAAGTTACCGTTTGTATCAGTAAAAATATATAATATATTTTTTACTGGTACAAAATATTCGAATCCATCAAAATTATCAATTTCGCATTACTCGTATAAATTTTGGTAGATATTAGCAAAATGAATCATCAGCTTTGGTCGCGCGCTATTTTGGTCAAGCCTAAAGATCACTTAGAATCTCACGCTAGGGCGAATATCAAGCCCTTTGTCGCCTCTTTCGAAACTAGCCAGTGTCCGCCATCAATGAGTTGCCTTTTGGGCTGGGAATATGGTCGGATGTGGGTAAAGGAGCGTGACAAGTTCGTGGCCGAACGCAAAAGGAAGACTGCAATGCGTCATAAACTTCCTGATTACAGCAAGTGGCTTGAAATGCATAAACCCAAGAAGAAGGAATCTAAGGAGTAAATATTATTATATATTTCTTTCATACTTAAAGAAATGGTATTTATTAAGATTTGTGGCTTTTTAGGAATATCTTCTTAGGCAGTAAGTGAGGACTGAGTGATATCTAAATCGAAAATTCTATTGGTTGGACAGAGATTGGATTGATCAAATGTTAAGAACTCATAGAGGAAAAATAAAATGTTTTGCGGTGCAAGGTAAGTAATTTTAACATATATAAAGAGAGTATTTAATAATGAAATTTATTTTTGTTTGTTTGACTTGACTTACATGGCTTGACTTACATGGCTTCTTGAAAATATTTATTTATCAATTGCAGAACAATTTCTATATATTCAATATAACCACATAGTGATTATAATATATAATAATATAATAATACATATATAATTATAATTATATTTAATAAATTGTTATTACGATCAATATTCAATATGTTTCGTCGTATTTCACACAATTTTATTTAATCACGAATTTTTATTTTAAAAATAACAGCCTACCGAATTCAAAAACGTGGACATTAATATTTAATTTAATAATAAAATCTATGTGGCAACTCCTTCAACAGTGGTATTTTATATATTACATATATATTACAATATAATATATATATTATGTTATTATGTGTATTATATGCATTTTGTGATATATCTGGCTTACTGTTTTAATAATCAAATTCTTAAATAAAAAATATAAGGTCAATGTTTTCAAAAATGGTTAACTGTTGATCTACGAATTGTCTATAATTTAATACTCACCAATTAGACCATATAAAACATATAAAATTAAGATATTCTAAAAAATGCTCTACTGAACTGCGGCAAATGAGCCTATTAAAAACCTAAATATCATTAATTTAATATATTGAAGGCATGGTTATAATATATATTATATAATAACAGAGTTATAATATGATTCAAAACGTGTATAATTATTGATTCCAAGATCCTAGATTTAATTTGGTCCAAAATGTATATCATTAAGAAGTGTTGTTATAAACTCGGATAAATAAAACCTAATGACAAACCGAACAATATCTCTGAATGTAAGATCCAAGACTTCATTCGATTCCATATGCGTCGTACTGTACTTGTTTTTGGCGATCGCATGACACAGCTAGGTAAGAGATAGAAATGCTTCACTATTTCAAAGTTCCATCTCTAAAAAATGGTTGCTAACAAGATAATGTGCAATTAAATTAGCAGAGATTGATTTGATTTCATATATATTTAGATTATTAAGTCTGTGAATATTGCCACAGACTTCTGAAATTGATTTTAGACTTCCAGGTATATAGGTTATAAAAGAAATTAAATTTTGGATAGAGATGCGTTATCCGCGAGAAACTTTAACATAGTTAACATGTACACTGCAAAAAAATGTGCAACCGAAACTCAATCATTTTTGAGAACTTGTGCTTAAAACAGCTCTGATTAAGATTTTCCTTAAAATAGGGACGAACCGGTTCCTTTTTCCCAAATATTTAGATAACTTAGGGTTTCTCTTCGTCTTAATTGGAATATATTTTTTCTGATAGTATTCAAAGCAATAATAGCTTCAAATAGTTTTTAAAGATATTATTATCTATTAAATGATGATTAAAACTTTTTTTATGACGATTTCATATATCTGTATAAATTTATTTCACAAAAGCGATAATATTACTATAATAGCCCTATAGCATACGATAGTAATTTGATCATTTTAGTGACTTTTTGAACTTCGCGCGTAATGAGTTTCAATGCAACACTGCTCATGTCAACAACTATCTACCATGTCGTACTATAGTATTTCAGTATACTTTTGTCAAGGCAAAACAATTCATAGTATTTATTGTATATGTTAATTGATCATTGCACAATAATTATTAAATTGGATAAATTATAAAATTAAATCTTTTTGCATAATTTCCTTAACAACACGTACGTTAATTCACTGACTTTATAAAATGCAATTAAACTGTAATATATTAGAAAGACATTGTTTATATATTATTTATAGTGATTTTAAAGAAATTTTCATAGCCCTGCGAAAGTGATTAATGATTTTGAAATAAGTAATTTTTACTAAAAAATTTATATATAAAAATTTTATATATAAAAATTGTCTCTTAAACGAAAAAAAAGCTCAACGCAAGTCTTAAAAACCATATTATCTATATATTGCATAAATACCAATAATGTTATAATAAAATGATTTAATAGTAAATGAGATATAATAGAATAAGTTAACTATTTTAAGAAAAAAGTGATACACATATATGTGACATATACTGTTATATTGGTATATGATATAATATGTGTAATATAAAAGACAATATTAATAAAAAATTGATAAGTCAGTTTTAAAAATTAATTTTAATAAATTTAAAATAACGACAAATCATAAAACAACAAATTTTATAAAAATAGATTAAACTAATAATTTAATAAATTTCTTCCTTTTTTTAAATATAATATTGTATTAATAATATAAAATTGCTATTAAACTAAAGAAGCTGCTTTACAAAATTTAAGAAAAAAAATTAAAATATGAAATATTTAATAATATATCAAAAATATATATATTTCAATAATCAACACGTAAAGTATTATACATTGTAGTACTTACTTATAAGCTATAATAAATAAATTTAAAAAAAAATATATAATTACTTAATAGAACTGATATAATAATATCTATATTGCAATTAAATATTATTTTAGCAGAATGTTAAATAAATTTTTAAATAATAATGTATTGCTATATATTTATATATTAGGCGCCCAAGTTAACATATAAAATCAAAATGTTAAGCTGTAATAAATACAAAAAAAAAAAAATTAAGTAAAATAAATTGTAGAATAATTCCAAAACTAATTATTAAAATGTTTGAAACGAAAAGTATATATAGGTAGTTAAAAAATAAAATCATTTCAAAAATCTATATCAAATTGTTGTCAAATACAAATTGATTGATGAACAATGATTCAAAATTTTAAAAATATGTAAATAATTTTTTTATATAAAAAATGTAAATAAAATAAACAAGAAGAAGAATATAATTTTAAAAAAAATTGAAAAATTAATTCTTATATTTATATAAACAAAACTAATTATATGTATTATTATTTTGTATGAAATATTAATTCGAGTATCTAAGTAAAAATGCAAGCTAAAAAGTAATTTCTTATAAAATTATACAGGAGTAAATTAAATTAATTGTTAATATTATTAACATTTCAATTAACATCATAAAAATAATTAATGATAATTATAATTAAGATTAGTAATGAATTTATATATTAAGATTATTAACCAAATAGCAACGATTATTTAATAAGAAAATAAAATAGTTGCAATATAATAAAAATCATATATTATAGGTGAGTAATATTTAATAAAAACTGATTAATTAAAAATTAAATTAAATCATACATACGCAAACAGAAATTTTTAACCAATATTAAAAATTAAATATAAATAAATAAATAAATATATTAAAAGTTTCAAAAAAATAAAAAAAAACATTTATTTCCCTATATAAAAATAATGTTTGCAACACGATATGTACTTAAAAAACTTAAAAATTGATTAACTAAAAATTAAAGAAATAATTTAAATATAATCTGGTTTCGGGTCTCTAAGTCTTAACAAATAAATATTAATAATAAAAAACAATACGTTATTAGGTGTTCTTAAGGTTTAAATACGATTATAATATTTATTATTTCAGACTATCTATCTGTAAATTTTTAATTTATTTATTTGTCAACAAAACAAAAATATTTAACAAAAAAATTAATTTTAAAGTTTTAAAGTATAAGGAAATGAACTGTTATATCCCGAAAATGCATATTCATATTCACATAAATATTTCTTACCGCAAAGTTGATTTATATACGTATATACCATATAAATAAATTTTTTTTTTACATACAAATATATGTAAGTTTGTTCAATAAATTAATTTTAACTGGAGTTCGGTTAGTTTTAAATTCATAATAATTTTATTTTAGAATAATATAGAATAAAATTAATAATAATGATTAATAATGATTATTTAGTTGAATTATTTATAAAACTATACATAAACAATTTACAAAATATTATTAATACTTTTTAATTATCAATATTTGAACTACCTCGCAGATCTTTTTCAATATAAATAATGGAAATTATTAAATTTTATTAATAATGATTAGACTATTTTTAATCGTCATTATTTATGCAAATAAATTTAATTAAAGTCCAATAAAAAAATGTTCTATTATTAAAAATTGAATTTAATTGAATAAAAATATATATATAGAAATTCCATAACATATGAGAAAAATAAATTAAATTAAATTGAAATGTATAAAAAATCTTTTCCTAAAACATTTCTAATAAAAAATATTTGTTATCAAAAATTTAATATGAGATGTACCATATAAATTTATGCCACTAAGTATAAATTATTAATAAAAATAAATTTAAATATTTTTTGTTATAAAATACTACAATAATTTGGTTAATTATTTTTTATTATTTTTTTATTTTAAGACAATATTTATATAAGGTAGCGACTTTTGTATTATTTTGCGGTCAAAATTTATTTAAAAAATAAATGTTTAAATTAATATAAATATGTTTCAGTTTTATGATTTTAAAAATATATATAAACATTTTGCATAACAATAATAATACTTTAAATAAAAAAAAAGTATGAAAAAAATTAATATTTCCTATTTGAAGGATTATATATTTTAGATATATAAAAAACATTAAAATTTAAGATTATTTTTATATACTCTTTGTAAGTACCCTAAAGATAACTATAAACTATAAATCAAAATAATATAAATAAATTATTAATATATTGTTATTACGACCAATAATCAAACAGTTTTTTTATTGTCTTATTATTATGTTTTTAAAAAAAATTTATAATTTTCTATGTTAAATAAACCAACTAAGCCCATTAATAATAAAAAAACTAATAAATGAATTATAATAAAAATTAAAATAAAAAATAATATAAAGAAATAAGTAAATAAAATGTATTTATTAAAAATAATTGAAAAGTATAATAGACAATAAATAATTAACAATAAAGTAAACTATTAAATATGTTTTTTTAAAAATAATTTAAAAAGTTACATATTATTCTATTAATTTAATATATATCGTGTCCAAAATATATGCATATGTATATACGAAATGTTTAAACTTAAATTATAATTTTTATTTTATTTATTTAAAATCAATTATAACAAAATCGTATAGAATGACTTACCTTCGCTTCGTTCAAGTTCTTTTTAATTAAAACTTTTTTTATTTTAGTTATTTATTTATTAATCACTAAAAGTTTATATTTATTAAATGTAATTTATTTTAAATTTTAATATTTTAAGCACTTTAATTTAATAATTATTTTTATTATTTATTAATTATTAATTGACTTTTCAATACGGTTTTCTCGTCGCAGGGCGCTCGATTGCAAGGTGAAGAGGTTTTCGATAAACAGGCTGTACAGCGCAACACAAGGCAAAAACAAAAACAAAAGAAAATGTTAAGCAAACATCAAAACAAATGAAACAAAACAAAAATTTTTTTAAAATATATATTTTTTTTGTAATAAATTTTTTTGACATTTATTCAAATAGAATCAAAATTTGCAAATACAAAATTAAAATAGCAACAACAAGACTTTTTTTAATTTTATTTTTAAAACTCGAAAAAGAAAACACAGCTATTTAAAAAAAAAAATTTTTTCTGAACAATTATTAAAAATCTTAAAAATTTTTTTTAAATTATTTTTTTTTTTTAATTTTTATTTTTTTTTAAATAAAAATTCTTTTTTTAATTTTTAAAAATTTGCAATAAAAATTCAATGCTTGAGTTTTTAAATAAACAAAAAAATTGTATAAAATATGCAACGCCAAGCAGCGGAATTATGCAAAAATAAACAAGAAGTGCAAATATGGAAACTGGCAGCAGCAAATACAAACAAAATCAAAATAAAAATAAAAACAAAAAGAGAAAAAAATTTAAAATTTTCAAGAAAAAAACTGGTAGCAGCTGAAGACGTTCCGATCATTGGCAAAAATAAAATAAAACATGAAAAAATAAATAAAAAACAAAATTAAAAAAAAAAATTAAGATAAAAAAATAAAAATAAAAACAAAAAAAATCTCTTATGCAATTTTTAGTTTCAGTTTATTTTTTTTCTTGGTGGTTTTGTTAAGATTTTGAAAAATTTAGTAAAATTTAATGACAGCAATAAATTGAGAACGTAATGGACCACCGGATAGGAGTAAGAAATGGTCCGTTGGCGTCGCACGGATGTAATTAAAAATGCAAAAGAAATTAACTCTTTTTAATGAGTTTTTTTTTGTATCCTGCGTGCTATTTTGTTCAGTCAATTGTTGCACATTTTTTTCAACATTTTTCTTCAACACAGTTTTTTTTTTTTTGCTTTAATCACTTTTTTTGTATTAATTTTTTTTGCTCCGTTGACCAAGATTTTTTCTTGTTGTAATTTTACGTACGAAATTTCAATGAAAGCGACAATGTAATGGAATTTTGATTTTTCTTTCAAGTTCATTTTGCGTGTTTAATTATTTCAGTTTCACTTTTTATGCATTTCTTTAACTGAACATACAACAAAAAAACAAAAACAAAAAAACAACACAAAAAAAAATATAACTGCATCATGCACTTTTTTTTTTGTCTTGTCCGAACACCTACAAAAGTTGCTTAACCAGCGAGAAGAGTTGCAAACATGTGTCTGGTTTGCAAATATGTCAACAAAATATACAAGAAATTATAATTGTTTCAATCTTTTACAACACATACACACGCACAATGCAAAACTATCCAACTAAATTGTGTAAATTTTTGTTTATTTCAAAAAGCAAAAAAAAAAACACTAAAATTGTACTGTTATTTGCACAAACCACAACTCGCCGCGTAAGACACACACACGTCCACCTGATTTGCCGCTTTAAATTGCACTGAAAGCTTTCATTAGCTCATGCTGTTAAGCCGAGCTGAACAAGAATTAATTGAAGCCACAATTAATTGTGGCAACATGCTGCTGAGCTGGTGTGAGTAGCAGCATGTTGCAGAACTTGAACTAGCAACAATGTGTTGTCAAGTTAGCTTTAGCAACAAAAATAATAAATGCTAAATTGTTGCTAATTGTTTTTTAATTAAGGAGATCACTTTTTATAAAAGATTATGAATGGAAGAAAATATTTGCTTATGTATTTGAATTATTTGAAAAAAAATTAAAAAAAAGTTAAGGTAAAATGTACATATGCATATATTCATTATATATTGATGATAATTTATGCATTTGAAATATTAAATCAATTAAAGTGCCTTGAATAAAATTACGTACACTATTCTTATGGTTAGGAGGTTCTCGACGGCTGACATTCTGGCTTTCATTCCGATGGCATTCAAACATGATCGCAGTGCTGTGCTCCGTTGGGAGCTGGTACCCTGTTTATTGTTATTCCTATTCGTATTCTTATGGTTTGTTTTAATTTAAAATATGTAATAGCAATATTGTACTTTATTTATATATTTTGTTTATGTCAAAATAACTATATCCAATATATATATTTAATCCTTTTATTCCTCAGTGGAACATAGGGTAGTAACAAATAGTTTCCATTGAACTCTATTTAATGCAAAACGTTTTGTTTCACTTCAGCCCTTTCGAGAGTTTCTTAATTCGGTTTCAGTTTGTCTCTTTCAAGTATTACGAGGTCTTCTACTGCCTTTAGGGTTGAAATCTAAGACCTTTCTTACAATATCATCAGCGGGTTTTCTTAGAGTTCGTTCAAGCCATCTGTATTTGCACGTCATTATTTCTTCAGTTATAAAAGGCTATAAACCGGAGCTCATTATTAGTTATTGTTGCTAGTCAGAATACATGAAGGATGTGTCGTAGACAGCGAATGGCAAAGGTACAGGCGTATCTTAGTGCTTTGTGAAATTTTGAATAAACGTCAGATTTTACTTAGGGTTGCTTCACTTTCGATAGCCTGTGTTGAATGTCTTGTCGACTGCCACCATTGTTCGAGAAGTAGCTCTTTAGAAATCTTCAATGCAGACGCCATCTAGTTGGAAATTCGTTGAGCAGTTTGAATTCAAACGCATAGATTGGTTTGCTGTTATTGATTGAGAGACCAGTTGCCAGTGCATGCTTTTCGATATTGTTCAGCGATATTTGCATTTGGGTAAAATTATGTGTTAGCAAACAGATGTCATTCGCGTAGTCAAGGTCAGTAAGTTTGTTTTGAAGGCTAAATGATATGCGGTGATCTGCGGTCAAAGCTTCCGACATAACCACATCTAAGACTCTATTGAATAATAAAGGTAAAACGATGCAGCCTTGTCGAACGCCAGACTTAATTTGAATCAAAGTCCACTGAGACACCCTTCGTGAAGTACTGAGCAATGCGTGTCAAAGTACCAGCCTTTCACTAAATGTATCAACTTCCCCGGTATGCCTTTAGACTCTAGTGCAAACTAAAAGGCGATATGGAGCAGGATATTGAATGCACGTTTAGAGTCGATAAATATCAATTATAAAAGTTATGTTACAAGATACCTATATACTATAATATGCTTACAATTAATAAGTAATAATTTAAATAGTTATTATAAGCAAATATTTTTTTCTATTCATGCATGTTTATAAAAAGTGATCTGTTTAAAACAGAAAAAATTTGCAACAATTTCCTTTGTCTAATCAAGTCGCCATATAAACATCAATTCCAAATGCATGATCTGTTCTTAGTTGCTTTTGCAGAATTGGATTAATTTCTGTTAAAATCATAATAACAAAATATATGGCATCAAGAAAATATGGATTGTGATGATTGACTAAAACAAATTGCTGTTGCGAACTTCTTGATGGTCCACTTGGGCAAAAGCTCTTAAATGTTGAAGAGCAAGCTACGACATCTTATAGCATTTATTATTTTTGCTTGCAGTAACAATTATTTATACCAACATGCTGCTGAGCTAGTATTAACAGCAGCATGTTGCAGCGTAATTCAGCAACAATATGTTGATAAGCAAAAATAATATATGTATTTATTTTTTTTGTGATAAGTAAGCATTAGCAATAATATGTTGTTGAATTTGTAGTAGTAACAATATGTTGATGAGTTCGTACTACCAATAATGTGTTCCTGAGCTTATACTAGCAGCAACAGTATGTTGCGAAGTTGATGTTAGCAACTTGATAACAAACAAATGTTGCACGTGGCTTAATAAAAATTGTTGATCACGTATTCAATGAGACTACGATTGTCATCAATATTTTAGTTTCATATATTAAACGTTGCCTAATAAAATTAATAACACTTTTAATTAAAAATTTTTATTCTCTATTAAAGATATTTAACAAAAATAATAAATAAAATAAAAAATAATATTAAATAAACAATAATATTAAATAAAAAATAATAAACAAAAACAATAAAAAATATTAAAAGTTGTTTTTAATATAAAGGTATTAAAAAAAAAATTTTAAAGAAAAGTATTAACAACAAATTTATAATATAATCAAGAAAAACGTTACAAATTTTTTAAATATTGTTGTTTTTGAATGATTCAAATTTAAAAAAATAAATTGAGATACGTATCCTTAATATTACATTAAGTTAGATAAAATAATGAAATTTCCAAAATATAAGGAAATAAAAAGTAATAATTTTGTAATTAGTGAGTTAGCAAGTTTAACTGAATTATAAAAATGATTCATATAAATATATATAAGTTGCATCTTGATAGTTATATAAATCAAAATAAAAATTTAGAAATTGCGACTCGTAGAGTAACATTAGCATGACTTACCTAAATTATGTTCCTAGATTAGGTTGTATATATAAGAAAGAACAAATAATGCAACAAATAATGCCTCTATAAACAGAAATGTATTAAAATTCAGGAATTAAAAATAAAAATATAATTAATTAATTAAAACTTCAGAAAAAAATGTGCGAACAATAAGAAGCAATTGCGGCTTTTGGTCAGTTAAAGTGCGCTGACTCTGAGCTTCAAATTTGGCAGGGCACTAATTCGATTCCTAGTACTTGCAGTTTCAAAAAATTATTAACCAATAATTAAATACAAGAATTATTTCTAAGATCACTGATGATGGGTATTTGCCAAATATTTAATTAATTAAAATAATATAAAATGAATTTTTGTTGTTGTAGTTTACTGCTGTTCGAAAAACCTCTTTAAAAAATAATTTTTTAATTAGTAATTTAGACTAAATGAAGTTATAATTTCAAAAAAGAAAATTGTATCTTGATAGTTATGCAAATCATAAATAATCCATTATTGTTGCTTTCTATTTCTATAGTAGCTTTGCATTCAACTTTAGCGTAGTTGAGTAGGAGCAAAGTGATGAATTGTCCTTGTCCTTGAAAAGAAGTATCTTGAAATCAGATATCATAGACTCAGAGGTATGAAGAAACATATGAAGGCAAAAGTTCTTAATATCACTAATAAAATAC